AGTGGAAAAACCACAAAGTCCAATATTTTAATAAGATCAAGGCAAAATAATTTACTGATGAATACATTCGTGTTGTTTCTCCCCTTAATTTCGGGGCCCAATCAATTTTATCATTGGCATTTGGAAAATTCAATGATTAAAATCTCTGTCATAATTCGAGTTTCATTATCAATTTATTCTGAAATATTTTGCTTGTTTTCTCATATCCGGATTTCATATTTCCAGATATATTGATGAAGAAATAGTGGTAAATATTCAACATTTGAAATGATCAGGATAAATGTCATAGAAAATAATAACTGAAACATAACTAATGAAACTAAATTATTTCAAAATATATAAATGACGATTTAATGAACGAAAAATTGGACAATGCATATTCTCGGTTTTCTGCATGATTTCACTAGTGTTACCCAAAACGTCTCGCACTCTTGCAAGACAAAGACCGCCTAATTGAATGCAAGAACAAGACCAAGATCCTACAAGATATAAGCCACAACAGGACTGAGCTTCAATAATCTTGCGGTCTTGCAGTTCAATAACACCCACATTTGGGCTTTGCGATATGACTCCAATAAATAATATTTTTATTCTTGTTTTGTTTCATTCGGTTATTTCATATTACTATTGCAATTGTTTTCGATTTTATTTTAGTTGACTTCATCAACTATATTTCATTACCTTCTCTTGATTACGTGTGACTTTGTAATAGATAATATCTTATTTTAAGTTTGTTCTAGTTACTAATTGTTTAGTAGTATTTCAATTTATTTCTATTTTATTCCATTAAAATACAGAGTATATAATTTCACTGTATCGATTGGAATTCGATTTTTCGATTTTTGTTTGAAAATTTAGGTATATTTCATAAAGAGATGTAGTTTTTGGCTCTGAAAGATTACATCTGATTTCATATATCAATGTGGAAGTTATTTTCGTAACTCCCAGGTATATTCACGAGACCGATTCGGGTCCTCTCCAACGGGTTCGTCACCTCTTTGCTTATACTCTTGACTCACCTTTAGACCGCCTGAGTATCCTATTATTTTTAACGGTGCCCTTCAGATGAAAGCGGTCGTGCCTTGTCACATAAAGCAGTTGAAACGCACCTTAATGAGGCCTTGTGGAGCGATGTAGCATCATTCACGCGTGCGAGAGGACCTGAAGAGTGCTAATGCGGTAGAAACGATATATTGTGTGAGTCGTTCAATCTAGTGGAAGCAGTTCTGTACGTGGGATATACTATCGTATAATAGTTCTAACTCCAAGAAAATGAAAATTCATAGGTTTATGAGAATATGAGAAGAGGACCATCTTCATCGATGGAAAAAGGCAACTTTGTATCACTCAATTGAATGATTTATAATTTCTCCATTGCAAACTACGTCATTCAATATTATTGTCATATCTCAGTATGACTTCATCAGTAAATGAAATTTGTATATTAAAATTGACAGACGGATCAAATACTTATCGATGAACTATGTCTAGAAGGACTCGTTGGTTCAAAATCGGAATTTTGCTAAAAAATCTATGCGGTTAGGAGGGGATAATCTAACAAGTTACTCATTTTACGAGTGGAAAGTCCTTGCAATACTCTTGATCTCATCAGGTTCTAGTTAAATCATCAAAATCAATCTGTCCTCCGCCTTTAACAACTTGAGTGCATATCTAAAGATCTGTAAGGTTGATGTAAAGTCAATGAGTGCCAAGTTTAAAGAGCCCAGAGCAGTAGATTGGCAGATAATGTCTTCTTCAGCTATTTGATGGAAGATTTCCTTCAACCATGCAAGCAGGAGTTCTATTTGCTCATATATAGAGTTGAGAAAAGAGTTACAGTCATTATAAATACCAGGCTATTTTGTATAGGGTATTTTTTTAGAGGTATAGAACTTTAAATTGCAATAAAACAACGATGGATCATTCGATTGACAAAAATTTTTTTTATTCGAAAGATTATCGTGTGGCATTACATTTTGAATATGATTTCTGGCATATGACCACCACAGCTGGCTCGGATCAATATTTTCTTTAAGAATACCTCAAGCTGAAATACCGTGAAGAAATTCATGAAATACTATCCTGCATGCTATTTCTGTAATTTAAAGAACCAAGACATGATAACTGACCTTTTTCTCATATATCAAATTAAATACGTATATGTATTTGTTTGCACATATGTAGCACTAACACTTGATGCAATATATGAATAACAGATACTCAGTTATAACCTACAGTGTCAACAGAGAAGATAAACTCGGGAAAGAAAAATACCAATCACAGAAAACAATTGCAGCATGAAAACAGGTAACGAAAGATTTGAAACAAAGGTCTTGATACTACTTGGATAGTAGTCATTCCTACCTTCTACTTGAACTGCTGTTATTGAAATTACGGATGATACTATTCTAATACTCAAATATTATATCTTGTGTTATCACATTCCTGGAACTTCAGACTTTGTATAAGTATAGGGTGTTTTTTTTAGAGGTATAGAACTTTAAATTGCAATAAAACAACGATGGATCATTCGATTGACAAGGAGTTTTCTTAATTCGAAAGATAATCTTGTGGCATTACATTTCAAATATAATGTCTGGTATATAACTACCACGGCTGGCTCGGATGTTGTCCAATCTGGACGACCAATTTTCGATGACTTTTTCCAACGTTTGTAGCCGTATATCGGCAATAACACGGCGAATATTATCTTCCGATTGGTCAAGCGTTTGTGGCTTATCCGCATAGACCAATGACTTTACTTCCCACAGAAAGTAGTTTAGCGGTGCTAAATCACAAGATCTTGGAGGCCAATTCACAGGTCCAAAACGTGAAATTAGGCGGTCAACAAACGTGTCTTGTTGACATCACAGCTCTTGGACATCATGGTTTTTCAATTCAGCAATAGAAAAATTAGTAATCATGGCTCTATACCTATCACCATTGACTATAACGTTCTGACCATCATCGTTTTTGAAGAAGTACGGACCAATGATTCCACCATCCCATAAAGCGCACCAAACAGTCAGTTTTGCTGGATGTAACAGTGCCTTGACATACACTTGAGGATTATCTTCACTCCGAATGCAGCAGTTTTGTTTGTTGACGTAGCTATTGAATCAGAAGTGCGCTTCATCGATAAACAAAATTCGCTTATGAAAATCGGGAACAACGACAATCTCGGTTTGGGCCCATTCGACGAATCTACGACTTGTTTGATGATCGTCTTGATGAATTGCCAAACCAAACTGAGAATGAATCACTTATCAGCTGTTAAATCGGTCGCCATCTCCAACAGTAATGCCAATTTGAAGTTCTACCTCTAAAGAAAATACCCGTTACAAGCAGCTCATTTTTCTGCTCAGTTTTCGATTGGATATAAATTGCAGTACTTTGGAATTCCTAAAATTGACGAGAAAATAAATTGCAATATAAGATCTCTGTTTGATACAATTCACACCAAAGAAGAACTAGAGACTCTAAAATGAAAAGTTTGAATATTGAACGTAAAATGAAATCAAACCACCACAATAGGCCAGTCATGTAAGAAGAAATACAAATGGTCGCAGTCATTCAGTCGAAGTTGCTTGACAGAATGACCATCTACTAGATGGTAAAGCTAATAACCAAACATCATGCACCTAGATAGACGATTTGATTGTTGAAAATGAATATATACTTCAGTAATGCGAAGAAAAGACTTCGTTTGAACTGAAGATTTTGAAGAGACGATATGAAAACTTGAAGACGAGTTTAGAAAAGCAGTATTCTGAATCTTTCATCCCTTTTATTGATCTTACTTACCGAGTCTGGATGCGAATATTGGAAGGTGTAATACAGATATGTTTTCTGAACAATAAAATTATAATTTTTGGTTGGGAGAGCATATCGTCATCCGAAGTTTGTTTTTTGTCATTTTAAATAATAGACTTCTTCCTATAGAAAACCTCAACTGAAGAGAAGAAAATTTGAAAAAAGTATTTTCAAAACGTTTGGACGTGACAGAGTATAGTTCGTTTTGGTTGGACTGTCCTGTAAAAACTTCTCTTACCGTATCTGGACTCGTACAAGTTTGAATAAATTACTCTACTAAAGTCTGATAAACATTGAACATTTCGTTTATCTTTTGTTCAGCAAAAACCACCTCGTTATTAGTTCTGGACGAGCGGTTGTAAGGTCTCTAACTTTTGGTATTATTCAACTATTCCCTTGAGGAAAAACGCTCATTTGGTAAATGTACAGAGTTGTATCATCTCATGAATATACGACATCTATATTTAATTCTGAGAATTTTTCAATGAAAGAAAACTTGAAATGTTGTTTTTGAAATATTTGAACGAATAGTTATATAACTTTTCAAGAATGCTAGTATATAGAATACTTGTAAATACTGAGACTCTTAATCGAAATATTTCAAATGAAACTCTCAGGGAGCTGTCTACATAAATGTTATATAAAGAATGACCTGTGAATCTTGAAATTATATATTTATATATATATATATATATATATATATATATATATATATATATATTTCGAATGTTTTTATCAATAACAGGTTTCTTTTAATATGAAAAAATTTATTTTTGTTATTTCGTTGAAAATCACAACTTTGTCAAAACTTGTGATATAAACAAAAAGTTGTGATATACAACGAAACGTCAACAAAAATGAAGATTTTCATATTGAAAGAAGCCTATTATTGCTGAAAACATTCGAAATAAACAATCTTAAACAGGCAATAAATCAATTCAATATATATATATATATATATATATATATATATATATATTTATATGAAGTGAATATTATTTGCGCTAACAATGCACGTACGGATATATTGTATATGAAGAAATATTTATATGTAAATTTGGAATCGAAATTACACCACAAAAGTTCTCAACCGCGACTGGGATACAAACCCAGAACTCTCAGGTTTACGCCATGTTGCTCTACCAAACAGTAATTAGATATAGTCAGAATTGCATCGCGAAGTATAGTCCTCGGTAGCTTAGTTGATAGAGCAACAGGGCGTGAACCTGAGAGACCTGGGTTCGTATCCCAGTCGAGGTTGAGAACTTTTGTGGTGCAATTTCGATTGAAAATTTACATATAAATATTGGTGTACTAGACTTATTAAAAAATTCAATTAGTCTAGTACACCTGCTATACCACAAACAAACATCTGTATATATATATATATATATATATATATATATATATATATTTCTTGAAATTGATTTATTGCCTGTTTGAGGTATTTATTTTGAAAGTTTTTAGCATTAACAGGCTTTTTTAATATGAAAAAGTTTATTTCTGTTGACGTTTCGTTGTTATATTACAACTTTGTCTTATCAACTCATATATTCGAAAATTTTCAACAAAATGAAACTAGAAAAATTAATATTCTTATTGAAAAAAATAAACTCAAGAAAATAAGAAAATTCAACAAACTTTACGTTGAACAAATAAATATAGAATTTCCAACATCATCATCTTATGAGAATGTTATAAATACAACAAAAACAGAAATACCAGAATATGTCAACAATATACTCAATTTAGATCCAAAACACGCGGTACAAATAAATAACGTAGATCAAATTCCGATTTTCAATATCATTACGAAAATAGAAAAAGGAATTTCCGAATTACCTACTGAAAATCAAAACTCAATTCGACTAAAAGTAACTAATACAATTGAATCATACCATAATAATTTTCAAAATATGAAAAATACAGCTGAAAATAAACTTCTTATGAAAAATTTAAATAAAACAAAATCATTCATAAAATCTAATCCACAAATAACTATAACAAAATCCGATAAAGGAAATAAAACAGTCATTCTAGAAACTATTGAATATGAACAAAAAATTAACGAAATGCTTAGTGATACAATTACGTATAAAAAAATTAAGAGAGATCTAACAAAAACTTTACAGAATGAAACTAACAAACTAATAAAAAAATGGGAAACAAATAATTTTATATCACCAAAAACAGCTAAAGAGTTAATACAACATAATAGTCTACCACCCAAATTTTATGGTTTACCTAAAATACATAAAAATAATATTCCATTAAGACCAATTGTTTCATATATTCAATCTCCTCTATATAATCTTTCTAAATTTCTTTCTTCAATTTTAAAAAATGTAATAAATCAAAATCAATTTTATGTCAAGAACTCTTATCATTTAGTTGATAATCTGAAAAATTTACAACTTAATGAAAATCATAAATTATATTCTTTAGATGTAATCTCACTTTATACTAATATACCCAATGCAATCGTTCCAAACATAATAGATCTAAAATGGAATATTTTAAAAAATTTCACTTGTATTCCAAAAAATGAATTCATTGAAGCAGTAAAATTCACTTTAGGAACAAATTTTTTTCAATATAAAAATGAATTTTATCAACAACTAGATGGTGTAGCAATGGGCAGTCCAATTTCAAGTGTCATTGCACAATTAGTAATGGAATTTTTGGAAGAAGATATAATAAAAAATTTAGAAGAAAATATCTTATTATATAAAAGATATGTTGATGATTGTTTAATAATAGCAGATAAAGATCAAATTGATAATATACTAGAACGTTTCAATAGGACAAAGTTGTAATATAACAACGAAACGTCAACAGAAATAAACTTTTTCATATTAAAAAAGCCTGTTAATGCTAAAAACTTTCAAAATATATATATATATATATATATATATATATATATATATATATATATATATATATATATATATATATATATATATATATATAGATTAATCTGGATAGTGGTTGGATATTTCAGGTTGATGAGTTTGTGTTAATTCAATTTGAAAATCGTTTTTACGTTTCGAGGGCGGTACCTTCTTTTTCAGTAGTCTTGGTTTTATAAATATATGAATGAGGCATCTAAACTAAAAGATATTAAAGATTCACTAAAACTGCTTGACTAGCATTTTTAATAAATTCAATGGACGATGAATCTACTCTGTGATAGTTCATATTTAAATGAGAGGAAATGATAAAAACTTGCCTAAAAATCATTGACTGAACAATTCTTTATTCTTGCATTCTTGCATTCCAGCATTCTTGATAATGCTGTAAAAGATATTAGTGTCACAAACAATTAAAATAAATGTATGAAATGATCTCTCCCATGTATCTGCGATCTTATATCTCTAGACATATATAAGTAGAAACAATATTTAACCATCATTGAGAATGATAGCGAAACAATGGCAATTAGAAATAAAGAACACTTATTAAGAGCTAAATCATCTTTTATTAAACAACAACAATATTTCATTCGAGAAAAGTATTGATACATAAAGAATACAGTCATATTTGACATATGATTTCATATTGATTTAATTGATATTCGAAAGAAAAGATTCCGGATGTAGTTCTATGATCTTTTCCACTAACTCGATGTTTTTCCAGATATTCTGATATAATGGAATAGTCGTTTCAGGATTATTTTTCATATCAGTTTCTCTCCTGCTTCCCTCTAGATGATTTTCTTCCAGAAATTTCATCTTTCCTGATTGAACTTTTGACATAACTGGAGTGTGGTAATTTCCAAGTTTTCAGCACCCTTGTTCTGACGTTTGAAGCAATCAAATTCGCACCTATTCTTGAATAGTTTACCATTTGAAACACATACTGGACTCCAAAATCTGGGACAGATGCACTTACTGCTATCTTTAACATTTCTCGATTGAACGGAGATAACAGTCAACATCAAACAAAGAATAAACAATTTTGTCATTTTTATGTGCACGAAAAACAATAATTTGGGCAATTTATGTGAGCAATTCGATCGAAAAGATTACTCAGGTTAAAACATTTGCTCGTTTGCGTTTGTATTTAAGTAGTAGATTCCCCGTATCGTTTATCTTTCGGCTTTGTATAACTTGATAATTCTCGATATAATCGGAATTAATATCAGTATATTGTTATTGAATTGCTTTCAAAAACACGAGAAACTGGGAATTTTATCACATGCACAGGTGATAATCCATTTCCAAACTTTTTATGATACGCTATTTGTTTTATCATATGGAAAAGTTTCGAAAACCTTTTTACTTTTTTTCGGTTTTCGAAAACTGAAATTAGGAAACAGTTTTGCTCTTATTTTGAATATTTTATAAATTAAAATTTTTCCAATTAATAGTGACTGAAAAACTTGGTATAATCAGCGATAAATATTTTTCACGGTTTTATTGGAAACTCCTGATAATAGGTGAGTAGGTCGAAACGAATGCCAACCCAACAATTCTTGTTGAGTTGAGGTTAGTGTTTCCGATTATTTGAATATATTCATTTCTTACTGCTTTGTTTCGAAATTCATATAAGTACATGAGATAAGCTGTTATCAGAACGAAATATGAACTAAATATGTGTCATACAATCAGCCTAGTTGATCCATATAATAAAATTCATATTGGTTCTGCATGATTTCGAAGAGAACCTGACTTTAAAAAATCGTTGTTTTATTTTGGAAACATCTTGAATATCCAAGATTTTCCGCTAATTCTTCTTCATGTTCTCACATTTCATTTTGTTTACTACATTTTGAGATATGAAACACACGCTTCTCTTAGAAATATGATTCATTCAATTCTCAAGCCAGAAATCATGGTACCGTGGACTTCTTTCTTCTGATAAGTGGTAGAACGTATTTGTCTCCTGATTTTTTTTAAAAAGAGCTGGATTTTAGTGAAATATCTCATTTTATAAGTATATATGACCATGAGTTCAATATATATTAGGAGTTATTAGGACTCGCTATTAACCAGGTGAATGTTCGAAACATTGCGGAATGTGATGTAGTTAACAGCTACGTATATCTGGGCCCCAAGATCTGAAACACTGGAGGCTGCAATGACGAAATCAGGAGGCGTTGCGCCATAGCAAGACCTTCAAAGCATTCGAAAAGCTCACAAGGATTTAGGGGGACCTCAATATAACCAAAAACACAATGATTGGACTAATGAAATGCCTTCTCTTTCCAATCTTCTTGTACGGAGTTGAGACATGGACATTGAGGATGCACGATCGTCGCAAAATTGATGCGTTATAAATGTGGTGCTGGAGAAGCTTGCTCAGAGTCCCGTGGACTACACATCGAACCAACGTCTCGATTCTGAAGGAGCTCAACATCAAAGAGAGGTTATCGTCAACTGTGCAGCTGCGAATCCTTGAATTCTTTGGACATATAACCCGAAACGAAGACTCGAACGATTGGTGGTCCAAGGGAAAGTCAAGGGCAACAGATTGCGTGGGTGCTTTCCAACAAGGTGGACAGATCTGATAAAATCTGTGACGCATTGGGGAAATTTGAGAACTCATCTGATAGCATTTCACTATCACAGATGACACAATTCAAGTTTATAAAAGTCATTGAAGTCACTACACATTCATAAACAGGACTTGCCATATAAAGAATCATGTGGAAAAGTGAAGAGTTAACAATTTAAATCTTCAAATACTAGTAATGATGCATAAGATGTATCAACCTTTGAATGTAACAACGGAAAAATCTAGAAGATAAAGGAAATGAAAAGGAAAAAACTTCAAAGGCATGCTAATACATATTACAGAGACATCCTTTTAATATTTGCAGATCAGTGCGGTCCATAGAAGATACCCTAAATTTGGTATGTTCTGTAGTTCGGCCCCTCGAGGTGGTAGAATATATCAACTCAGTTCTATGTTCTGTATCTATAGAATATAGTTTGGATGTGGTAAAGGTGGGGATTTCCAAACTTTCAAAGATTCAACAGTGGGGAGTGGTTTAGGTCTAACTGGTCATTTAGAAGATTGTAAGACTGTAGAGAATGTGAGTCATCATATATAGACCAGACTGGAAGATGTTGAATACATTTGAAAAACGGGAAATCTGCTTTTCGGAAACATCTGGAGACGACAGGACATAACATCTCATCCTGTTTAAAACCAAAAATTCTCCATTACTGTGAAAAAGATATGAAAATGAACTACCTGGAAGCCATGGAAATAAATAAAATCTGATAATTACAATCTTCTCAATGACCAATTAGACCTCA